CCGGAATCTGAAGGTCGCGGGTTCGAATCCCCGTCCCACCAAACATGCTCGCCCTTTCAGCTGTGGGGGCGTTATAACGTGACGGTCAATCCCACAATTCATTGGTAAAAGAATAGCCCAAGAGTTGGCGGTGGGTGGTAATGACTAGCTGCCTTCACTCTAGTCTTACACTGCTAAATTAGGGACAGCTAGCGCAAATAGCCCTTGTGTAGCTATGCGTGAAATTCAAATGCAAACATACAATGTAGACCCAGATTTTAACGTTGTAAGTCCATAGATATTTTTTGTATTTATTTCAAGTAATTATTGTTACCTGGGTTAAATATATGTAGATGGCGCTTTAGCAATAAAAATGTGGTTGCTTTATTTTATTTATTACGGTGTTTTCCAAACTTGGCAAAAGTGAGTATAAATATTAAAAAATATTTCTTTTGTCATTGCAGTAATTAAGTTTTCTGACGATGATGAAAAATTCCTATACATACTATTTAATTTCTTAAGTTAACTTAAGAATTTGAATATTCTATATTCAAATTCTAATTTTCGTTTTTTTCTTTTGATTTCGAAGAAGCAACAATTAGGACTTGATAACTTCACTTAGTTATTTGAGTATCTGTTTGCTAATTTAGAAAATGTGAAAGTACTGAGGTGTCCATGCTTTGATTTCATAGGTATCAAATATATTTGTTTCTGGTTTTTAACAGGCCATATTTATTGCTGCGAACCCATAACTCATAAGATTGCTCAGTGTTTTTTAGGTAAAAGTTTAAATGGGTTTGAAACTTTAAATGCCTTTGTACTTGTAGTTCATGTGCAAATATCGCCAAAATATATCACAACCTTCGTGAGGTTAGACAGTTTTTACCATTGCCAATAGTATCATCAGCATAGCGAGACATAGTATAGTCATTTTGCTAGCATAGAAATATTCAGAATACATCAACACCGTTTGTAACACTTCTTTAAGTTCTTAGATGTATCCTGTGCAACATTTCATGCACAAGTCAAATCCAAATGAACTGGTTTGTAACAATACTCACATGCAGTGTGACAAAGTTGCACAGTTACAACATTTATAATGCTACAAATTGGGTTTTGTTATCCATGTAAAAACATACATTTCTTGTTCTCAAGTTTTGCTTTATTTGTACAGTTTTGCTTTAAATTTCTCTTTTTACCTTTGATGAGCTTTGGATAGGACTTTGTAATATTTTATTTGTTTTCAAGAGACCACTTAACTTCACTTTTCCATATAGCTAATCTGGATAACAGTCACATCCACACCTGTATCAATTTATAGTTCGACTTCAGTTTCCCCTTTTGAAATTTTGAGAAACCCTAATACATACAGAAGTTAACTGTGCCCAGAAATCTGGTGAATCTTTTCTGTAAGCTTTGCTGGGCATTGTTGCTTAATGTTTTGTGATGTTCTCTGGCATTGTTTAATTTGTTAGGCTTAAATAGATTTGAGTTATTGTTTCTTTTTTTTTTCTGTATTGTTTTGTTCTATTGCTGTATGTTTTCTTTTCAATGTTAACTGGGTCCACATTTGAATTAGCATATTCAGCTTGGAAATTATTTTTTAAGATCAGAGCCTATCTGGAGCTGTTTTAATAAATCTGCATCCATGAAGCCCACAACAGTTCTGTCTCAAATCATTTTACTACAAAGCACTCCTTACCTACAGTTTTCTGATAAGCAGTAAAGCACTGTGATCAAACTATCTAAAGGTTTGCCTGATTCTTGTTGTCATTGGTTAAATTTATCCTTTTCAAAAATTATTTCTGTGTCATGAAATGTGATTCCAGAGCACTTTTGATAGCGTCATATTCACTATCTCTTTCCTTGTAAACCAAAGTGAACACAATATGTCATCCATTTCATCACCCATCCTGTATATCAGTGTATTAACCTGATTTACATATTGTTGCTAATCTAGTCAAGAGGTTATCCTAAACCTCACAATCCTCAGTTCATTTAGGCCATTCTTGTAGTTTAATAAATTCAAATATACTTGGTGGCAGTATTTGAAATAATGTCAGTTCTGTTTTAGACATTTTAGTGAGTATAGCAATATTTCTTTATAGTACTATACTACCTTTTACTAGTTTTAATTTTTCTATAAAGGTCCTACTTTTGTGTCTCCCCAGTTGTATGGTACGATGTGTTTTTAGATGTATTTTACCTTTTGTTGATGATCTCTGGATAATTTTTCTTTTGTTTTACTTATTGGTTATTCCTTTTGTTATTCTGACACCATTTTATACATAACTCTATAACAACAAGACATAACAATGCCCTATACGTTAGAACTCTCCTACCTTTACTAACATCTAATAGGTGGTTCTAGTTCACCATTGTTAACAAATACTACACAGCTCATTAAAATTTACATTGGAGAAATTTTTGCTTAATCTCTGCAATAAAGTGTGGCATGTATGATTTGTGAATTGAATATAATGTAATATTTATTATAATTAGAGGAAAAAATACTCTGTGCATAATATATAAGTACAGTAAGAAACAGCAAAATAAACATTCTGTAATTAAGAGTAGGATAAGTATTAAAATATTCAATATTACTGTACACTTAATTTGCCATTACTATGAAAGGGTATATATTATTACTATGTAGAGTGTTAGTAAAATATTTAACAGATTATTTAGGTGATTCAATTGGCCATGAGGTGGAGTTGCATGTTCATACCACAAAGGCAAGGCCTCACAATCTGATTTTTGTTATAAGGCAGTTAAATTAAACAAACAACAGAATTATAGTAGGTAATTACGAATACCTCTAAGCCTATTGTCACCAAAATAGTAAGTTACTTATTTAAGGGTGAAAATACATAAGTTGTTGCTAAACTTTAGTAGACCTATTTTGGGTTTAAATGTTTTTCAGCTCAGCTTATATAGTCAAATGAAGGACTTTCTTGTGCAGCATTTCAGAAGTATCAGGTATTTATTATAATAATTTTAGTTACATATACTTGTGGACTGCAATACTTATTTTTTTCTTCTCTTTTTATATTAGGGAAAACATTGTGGGCCTTCATGCACACAACATAAAACTATTTTCTACTCTGCATATAACTTTCATTATCATAGGTAGTGATTCCCTAGGTTGGAAGTCACTGATCATGGGTGAAACTGGTGTGGTGTCACCATATGGAGCAAAAATTTTTATATGAAATATTTCAGATTAAACACTAGCCACCATCATCTGGCCACTTTTAATAGACTGTAAACATTCCAGAAATGTTTTGTAGTGGACATTATATTACATATTTAAAAGCATTTTATTAATTCTTGTGGTACAATCTTGTTATGATTGAAATTATAAAATAATTGTTGTTTTCAAACAATTTATATATAATTAAAAGAGTAAAGTGTATGCATTAGGAGCTTTTCCAAACTTTATTAAACAATGCAAAAATGAAATTAGGTGTAGGGAAGTATGGACAGTGTGACCATATGCGTAAGAGAAAGGTAGATGAAGATAGTACTATGCATTGCAAAGGGAAAGATATTTAGGGAATGAATCTGTCATCCTTTGGAGCTATATTTCAGACAGTGGTGTTTATGAGTTAAGGTTTTGTTTTTGAATTTCTTCATTTGTTTACAGAAACATGGAGTGCTGGTATTGTCACCCTGTTGAGTTTTAAAGCTTGCCTCCAATACCTAGGTTTTCAAAGAATCACTATATCTGGTGAGTCTTACTAGATAAGTTGATCAAGTTGTAATATTTGACCAGATCATTCGGCTCTAAGTGTCTTTTGTGCTAGAGATGTTTGATGGCTATCATTTGTTGTGAAACAGGTTTAACCTCATAGTCATTGAGACTCCCTGTATGGTCATCAGATTCCTTCAGAACTTTACGTACCCAACCTCTAAGTGTCTTTTGTGCTAGAGATGTTTGATGGCTATCATTTGTTGTGAAACAGGTTTAACCTCATAGTCATTGAGACTCCCTGTATGGTCATCAGATTCCTTCAGAACTTTACGTACCCAACCTCATAAGTGACTAGTCTAAGAAAGTCACTTAACTGTTTTAGTTACTTTAAATACCTAGCAATGCATTTACATTTTATAAAGTTTGTACATTCAAATATAAAATACCACAACCAAAAAAAAATTTCATACACAGAGCACATTCCTACTTGTCTGTTATAAAAATATATAAATGGATTCTTGCAGAGGCTTGCCACCATTTAGTAACTTAGGAATTAGAAGTTATATTATTATTAACTTGAGATAAATGGTCTTATTTTTTGAGAAGGCCATATCTGAAACATTAGGATCTGAAAAACGTTTATCTGGAACTTATAGCCTCATTTTTCATTAATTAGATTTTCTTTTAAGTTTGTGCAAGATTTTTTTAACTAGAGTATGACTTCTCTTAATAAATCACCATAGGGACCAGATAACTTTGTGTAGCAGAGGTGGCTGCTGAACAAGGGTTTGTATTTACATGTAGGAGTTACTATAAATGTGTCCAGTAAGACATTTCAAAGACTGTGAGATGGTAAAAGAGAAAATAAATTTATTAAATAGTTTCTTGTTCTTTTTTTTAAGCAAATAAGACAATTTTTTTTCATACTTTTAGCACTGTGTTAGTGTTTTTCATTTATGCTCCATTTACTGTTTCACTTATCCTCTCTGCTCTGTATATTGCAACATACGAATGTTGACAAAATACAGATATTCTTGGCTGACTAGTGTCAAGACCATTAAGCAACAGCTTCTGAAAAATCTAGATGTAATACATTATTGCATTCTTGAAATTGTCACTAATAACCTACGCTATCACCCAAGTCTTGATTATTAATTAGTAATATAGGATAAAACTAATTAGTAATTAGTATCTAGGTATAATAATATTTTGTTGACAAAATACAGATATTCTTGGCTGACTAGTGTCAAGACCATTAAACAACAGCTTCTGAAAAATCTAGATGTAATACATTATTGCATTCTTGAAATTGTCACTAATAACCTATGCTATCACCCAAGTCTTAATTATTAATTAGTAATATAGGATAAAACTAATTAGTAATTAGTATCTAGGTATAATAATAATTAGTAGTTAGTATCTAGGTGTGATAAACAAAAAATTAGTTAGCAATTAATAATTAGACCTAGGTAATTTGTATAAGTTATTAATCACTATAGTTTTTTAATATCCAAAAGCCACAATCTTACTGTAAGTTTGTGCCCATTTTTGGAACTTTAATGGCCCGTGCTAGGGCTGGGTACCAGGAAGGCTTTTATGATACAGTATTTATCTCAGTACAAGGGTCACAATATGATGCATACCACAATACAGTAAATTAAGGTACAAATATATATATATATTACAAAATCACACAGTTATCACTCTTATTGTGGAAATGTTTGTAGTAATAATACTGGTATAGCACTTTTGGTCAAATAAGCTTTACAACCTGCTTTGTTTTTGTTTCCTTTGTTTATTCTTTAAAATAAACTAAAAAAACTGTTAATCATAATAAATAAAACCAAGAAAATGTTCATAGTATTCTTGTAAACAAGATTTTATTAATGTTTTGAATCTGAGGAACCTTCTTAAGTATTAAAATAAAAAAAAAAAAATTACATTTCTTGGAACAAGTTTTTTTAATGTTCTTGATGTGCAGAATAAACAAACTTCGATCATAATAAACTAAAAAAAATATTCACAGTTCTAGAAACAAGTTTTTCTTAATTTCAGAATCTATAGAGAAGGTTATATGTGGTGGTTTTTCTTGAGGAATACTGGTGGTTTGTGCTGTTATCACATCTCCAGCAGTGGGGAAAACTTTCAGCAGAAACACTAGTCCCTGTAATTTTAACTAACAGGGAATATTCTACCTCATGAACCATCTACCAGTTAAGCAGATTCTCATTCAGAGGTAAAGTGCTGCTCCTATATTTTATGGTCTCAGTCTCTGCTTTTTCTGAAGAAGATTTTAAGAGTCTCAGACAGATGCTTCAACACAAAATGCATCTCCAAACAAGTCTGCAAGTGCACAAGAAATAGTCTTGCATTCTTTCTTTGTTTTGTTTTTTTATGTGGACTCACTGGTAAGTCTAGGCTGGATCCTTCTTGCTTGGCAAAGTGGGTATCTCTAGGCTGTCTGGGCTCTGGCTCAGTGCCACACACAATAACTTCCTGCTGAAATGCAAACATTAAAAGAAGAAAAAAAAATTGATAGCTTAAACTTGTGTGTTATTTAATATTTTTATGCCTCTGCAGAGAGACATATTGTTTTTCAATTATTTCTTCTTCCAAACACATAAATCATCTGTCATTCTTTCATTTCTTTGCAGATTCACTTGAAACTTGGTAGGATTTTACCTTGGTCCAATACACCCAGAGACCTATTTCATATTTTTGATTTAGACCTTATTAAGGATCTTATATGGTCAAAAGTCAAACAACCCAAAAATGAATTTTTTGAGCTCCTGAGCAGTTATATTTACAGTAATCAAGATGGAAATTGGCACAAATATATATTTTCATGTGCCCAACACATTGACATACAAAAAAAGTTGGATTTGTCCATTTTGAGTCTTTTTTTGGTCAATTACTCGGCCATATTTTGACCAATTTACATGGGATTTTGTACAGGTCCCACACATTGACAAGCAAAAATGGTGGACATGCCCATTTTTATTAATCATAGAGAGGGGGTCAAGAAGTCACAAAAAGTATAATTTTAGGTTTTTTTGACAATTACTCCACTGTATTTTGGCAAACTTACATGGGATTTGGTAGAAAGATACTTTTTTATAGGTCCGTACATATACATGTACAAACAAAAAATGTGGGATATGTCCATTTTGGTCATTTTAGAGGGGTGTGTGTGTCAAAAGTTAAATAAACTCATAATTTTAGGAGTTTTGGTCAATTACTGAGCCCTATTTTGACCAATGTACATGGGATTTAGTACAAAGATACTCTCAAAGGTCCCAAACAGAGATATAGACAATTTTGAAATTTTTGTCTTTTGTTCAACTTTTCAGTGAGAAAAGCACAGTTCCAATAGCTATTCTCGTTTAATGCTACCCCCTATTTTCCCTGATTTTCCTGTGTGTTTAACCCATGCCCAGTTTTCACACCATCATCTTACCCTCACTTCACTTCGGTATTTATCTACCATCCATCTCCTTTCTGAATCAATACACCGAGATCCTGTGAGATTTTTGAGGGATTGCCTCTCCCTTATTACCTCCACATTGGCTTATTTGTCATCTTCAGCTCTTGCCACACTTGGTTTCTCTGTTATTGGGATCTTCTGGGTTGCAATGCGGTCTTGTCCCAAGTTTGTTTGCTGCCCACTTATCTAAGGGATTTAAGCAGTATGTTTTCGAACACGTACCTGAGACTTTGGAATCACGTGTGGAGTCTGTGGATCAACACTCTACCCTTTCCTCTTTGGTAGCTCGTATGAAGCAGTTAGAACCATGACAAGCCCCTATTCCTGTTTCCCATCCTAGTCCTTCTCAACCCTTATCTGTTCCTCCCACCAGGGATTCCTCATTTTATCATTTTATTTGATGTAGACAGGCACTAGCCCAACAGTAACAGTGACTACCCGGTGGATTCCAGTCCTGTGGGAGCTCGATTGTGCAAATTTGTTCCCCTTTGGTGATTTTTAGCCACAGGTCAGTGGGTTATTCAGGTTTTATATATAGGGAGTTGTCCTCCAATTTCTTTCCCCCCTCCTTTGTTTCGAGTACCCATTTTCTTTCCTAGGCCTCGGGAAGCTATCACCTGCCAGCATCTGTCAGAGGTGGTAATGACCTTTTGTCTCAACAGGCCATTTAACCTGTTCACCTTTCTCCAGGCTGTTTGTTGTCCCCAAGAAAGCTGGAGACTGGTGGCCTGTAACAGATTTGTCCTGCTTCAATCAGTTTCTCAGTCTACCACATTTTACCATGGAATCGTTTGTCACCCTCAGGTGGGCTTTTTCTCCAGGTTTGTGGATGACCAAGATGGACATTGCAAATGCTTACTTGCATATTCGAATACCTTGTCAGTTGCAACCATATCTTCAGTTTGTTCATCACAGGGAGGTATATCAGTTTCACACACTGCCCTTAGGGCTTGCTTCGGCCCCGTATGTTTTTTGTCGGTTGATCAGAGCATTTGCTCGCCAACTTCATACTCTCGGGTTCAGTTTTCATCATTATATGGATGAAACAAAATAATTTTTTTAGGTTTTACATATACAATTGAATAACCAAAACATCATAACTTACTATATTAGTACCAAAAATGGAAAGAGATTGACATAAAATTCAAGAAATAGTAGTTCAATAAAATTTTGAATGCGAGTCAACAAATGCGATAATGTGGCCTTTCACCCGTGACCCGTCTGGAAAGGGTTAATCAAGTTGGAGAAGTAATTCCTTCAACCTACCCAATATCTTGTCCATTTGGGTGTTTTTTTCAACAGCCATCACAGTCAGACCCCATCCTTCTCCTCTTCGATTTTGTTCTATGGAGCTTTCAGTTCTCCATGCTCTTACTACTCTCTCTATTACACCTCGTGAGGTTCTATCACTTTTGGGGATGTGGTCTTCTATGGCAGCACTTATCCCCTTTTATTGTGCTCATATGCTGGCTCTTCATTAGGCTCTTCATGACCAGTGGAAGCTTGCACGGGATCCTTTACAGGCTCTTATTACCCTTTCTTTTACCCTAGTCAGTGATCTGCAATGGTGGTTGGACAAGACTCACACGTTGGCGAGTGTCCCGCTTCCTGATTTACATATTTTCACAGATGCATCCCTTCAGGGGGTGTGGTTCAATCAGCAAGAAGCATTGGTGTATTGGTCTGTGGCTGAGAGGTCTTATCATATCAACATCCTGGAGATTCTCATTGTACGTCAGGCTTTGGTTAATTTTCTCCAATTGATAATGATCCATTCCAATAATTCTACAGTGGTTGCTTATCTCAATCACCAGGGTGGTGCTCGTTCTCGATCCCCTGTATTCATATGTTGGATCTTCTTTGTTTGGGCCCACATGCAAGATATTCATATAATCGCATGTCATGTTCTGAGTGCTTTCAATCTTGTTGCAGATCAGCTTTCCCGACCAGACAAAATCTATCCAACGGAGTGGTTTCTAGATCCTCTTATTTTCCAGTGTTTTTGCATTAAGTGGGGTACTCCTCACATAGATGCTTTTGCCACCTCCCTCAACCACAAATTACCTCTGTTTTGGTCTCTGGTACCTTATCCTCCTGTCTGGCTGTCAATGCTTTCAGCCAGGATTGGAACAATAAATACATTTATGTTTATCCTCCCATTCAACTTCTTCACTGGCTGATATCGATCCTCCATACCACTCTGTGTCAAGTCCTTCTGATTGCTGGCTCAGCCATGGTTTTTGCAGCTTCTCCAGTGCCAACTTACCCCTCTATTACCTCTTCCTCCATCTCCCTCCCTTCTTCGTCAAACTTGGTTACTGGTGCTTAATCCAGCCCTTCATATTCTCCGTTGGTTTTTATCCAGTCCTTGGCAAAGAGATCCAGCTTGTCCCAGTGAGTAGCTTCATTTCTGGCTCGTTCCATTCACCTTTCCTCTTTGGAAGTTTATCAACGTAAATGGAACGTTTTCCGCAGTTGGTATTTGGGTCGAGGGTTTTCTGCTGATCGACCCATGGTTTCTTGTATTTCTGAATTTCTTGCATGACTTTTCAATCGGGGTCTTCTATCTCTGATAGATGTACATCTTTCGAGCCATTCTTCTCTTCCTATTTACACGGATGGTTCGAAATCGGGTGACTGTAGGTGGTGTGCTGTAGCTCGGTAGTTGCTCGCAGGATCCCCTTTACAGTTTATGTGTTCACTGCCAAGTTGTATGCTATTTCTCTTGCCCTGGATCATGTACAAGC